TGGTTGTAATTGGGTCTTTATGACTAAATGCGACTCAAAAGGTAACATTAAAAGGTACAAGGCTCGCCTTGTTGCTAAGGTTCACCCAAAAGGACGGAATCGACTACAAAGAAATCTTCTCTCCAGTTTCAAAGAAGGATTCTCTAAGAATTGTTTTGGTTTTGGTGGCTCAGTATGATCTTGAGTTTCACCAAATGGATGTGAAAACCGCCTTTCTGAATGGAGAGCTTGAGGAAGAAGTATATATATGGACCAACCTGAAGGGTTTGTGGCCACAGGAAAAGAGCATCTGGTATATATATGGACATTGGTTTGTTACATAATATAAAGAAGTATATCTCTAAGAAATTTGAAATGAAAGATATGGGTGAGGCATCTTATGTGATTGCGATAGAAATACTTCAAGATAGATCACAAGGATAGATAAGTTTTTCTCAGAAAGGATATATTCATAAAGTCTTAGAGATGTAGAATGGAAAATTGCTCCGGAGGAATAATTCAGAAAGGCGACAAGTTCAGGAAAATGCAATGTTAGAAAAGTGAATTGGAGCGTAAGGAAATGGCAGGAATTCCTTATGCGTTGGTGGTTGGGAGTTTGAACTACGTTCAAACATGTACTAGACCAAATATCAGTTTTGTTGTTGTATATTGGGTCGATATCAAAGTAATCCCAGAATAGACCACTAGAAAGCTGCAAAGAAAGTTCTCAGATAATTGCAAGACACCAAAGAACACGTGCTTATATAATAGGAGATCGGATCATCTAGAAATCATTGAATATTCAGATTCAGACTGTGACGGATGCATTGATAGCAGGAAATCGACGTTTGGCTATCTGTTCCTATTTGCTGGAGGAGCAGTGTCATGGAAAAGTGGAAAGCAGTCTGTCATTGCTACTTCCACTATAGAGGCTGAATTTGTGGCATGCTTTGAGGCTACAATTCATGCATTGTGGCTGCAAAACTTTATTTGAGGGCTTCGAATTCTCGATAGTATAGAAGAGCGGCTGAAAGTTTATAACTCTTATTTTATTGTTATAGTTAAAGATCTTTAGACTTGATATAAATGCGCATATTACGGTTATTAAAGTGACATATATGTCGATTGGTTTAATTGTAAGGATCAAATTCATATTAAGTGCAAAATTCTAACATAAAAGATGACACCATGATGGATCCGTTTCGATTAAAGACGTTAGAATTTGAATATATTAATAATCTTCTTCCTTACCTTAAAAATGTTGACAAGTCTTTTATTAAGGATCATATGTATATATGTGAAATAAGGTGTGTAATAAGCAAAACTGGGTGATCAAGCTTTTGTAGGCATGTGGCTGGCATGGAGGAAATTAGAAACTTTGTCTCCAAGCTAAAGGTAAAACTTGGAGACAAAGCTAAAGGCAAAACTTTGTGAGCAAGTTTAGTCCACTTCTTCTCCTATAAATAGATGTCAAGCTTCATTCTAAGGTTGATCATCATAATAGAAAAGTTTACTACACATCCATAAGAAAAAAGAAAGATAGAAAGGCTTGATCTCTTCTCCATCAAAAGAGATTCTAAAAGACAAGAGTTAAGGAAGAAGAAATCAATTGATTTCAAGCCTAATTAAAGCATATATCAAGATTAGTGTTTCTCCTTCTTCTATAAAATGCATTTGGTTGGATTATAATTAATCTAGTTTATCTTGGATAGATTTCATAAACTGAAATCATAGAAGAATTTAATCTTACAACAAGAACTAAATATTTCCTTTTCTGGACCTGGTCATCGCCAACATACACCGCAAGAAGCCCTTTCACTTCAACTTTCCCGCTAATCAAACATAATCAGTAGCAGAGATTTTTCCAAGCCCCTAAATTACGATAAAGAAAAAGTATATTAAAAAACCAGCTCACCACTAAATGAGGGAGTTGACAATGCCATCGCGAAATTAGGAAGTGTTCATCCTGTATCCATGATTCTGTTAACATTCACAGATTAAGAAAAAGAAAAAAAAAACATACTCATCATTATATGTTATTTCAAAAGAAAGAAACACAGACTTCACTCACTTTTAAAAAGTGCACAGATCACAGTTTATCCTGACTTTACTCGAAGTATCTTTAAGGATTTTCTCGGTTAGATACATCATTGTCTCCAAAAGCGCTGGTGTCCTGCTGGAAAAACAAAAAAAATCTTTAAACAACTTCTAATCTGTGGCCAAATGAGATTAGATAAAACCAATACAAGAGAAATAAATTAATTTGAAGTAGGTGATGAGGCATTGAATGCTTCGGATGCTTTCTTACTTTCTTCAAAACATTCATCGGCAGCTTGTAGAGCAGCAAATGGCATGCCATGAGATTTCTCTCTGTTTCCTTCATCAAGAATTGAAGCGTGATAGTAGAAAGCCGCAGCCTGATCCAAAAGATTCCAGAATATGACAAGACATTAGAAAACCTAACATGTTGAAAAGTTAATATACTCTCTCACCTCATATTTGTACTGATTTCTCCACTTCCCAAAAATGGCATCATCAATACCTTAATCTTCGTAGAGTTTTATCAAACGCTGCAAACTTCTTGCGCAAATTCTCCATATCTTTTTTGAAGAAGAAGGTACTGAATGTTGTATGTGTCCATATATGTGTTACAAATTGATGAGTCATGTAAGACTTTATATCGCAGCAAAGCGTCCGCACAAACACCGTCTCCGTCGGCCAACCAACGCAAGCTGTTTAGTTGCATGTTCCTATCAACTTTCGACAAAGAGCAACAAAACACAGTTAAGAGCCAAATGAAGTGAAAGTATGTATAGGGCCAGGAACACAAACATTCATGGAGCGCACTGTAGACGCCATTTATGTACATCCTTTCCTATTTGAGAATTGAAGAAAGTGTGATTTGTATACCCAACCTGTAACTTCATATCAAAGACAACAATACCAAGGTCAATAATAATCCATTAAAATACGATTGGACTTGTATTGAGAAATGGATGTGCCCTCATCTTCGTGGGGTCTTAACACAACACAGACTAAGCATAAAAAGTTCAAACATAGATATCATTCATCATTATTAGAAGTATAATTTATAATAGACCTAAAGAAATACAAAGATACTAAAAATATAGAATTTAAAATTAATCTTATACCCCTTACCATACACATGATGCAGGTGGGAGGTTACCCAAGGAATTTTTGAAAATGACAACTTCCATGATTTCAGATAAAAGAGATTGAGAAACTAAAAATAAATTCAAAATGTTTTTAAAAAGATAAGTCAATAACCTGATCAAAATCCAGGTCGATGGGATTCCAATATGGCGGATAGCAGTATGCATTTGAAGCCACCAACCTTCTTCTTCCATAATAGTCCGATCTTTTCTAATCAATTCTTCTTTGATACCTTTCACCCAAGCTTTTCTTTCCTAATCGTCACTATCATCTCTCCCAAGAGCATTAGAAAGAGTGATAAGAGTGATACAGATCTGAAAACAATTCTAAATAAGAATTCTAAACCAGACAGAGGAAAGGGAGTTGTCATTATGAACCATTGCATGAATAGGGATAGATATCATATCATAATCAATATAAAGGAAAAGCGAAAGGTTTTTCTTTGGAAGAGATGACTTAGCAAAGTAATATTGCTTATGTGTGACATTTAAATGCTGTGATTCGCTGATTATTTTTGCTGTGGAAGGCCAAGAAGTCAGGTATCCAGTCTTTTTTATGGCTTTGATTGGTAACTTTGCGGAATGGCGGAATTGTGGAAAAAATCTTGCGGAATAGATTAAGCGACTTATAAGTCGCTTTTCTGCGGAATGACTTTTTCTTTGTATTTTGGTTAAGCAAAAACGCAGTCTGCGTTTTTATGTGTATTTTTTCATTACGCGGATTTTTGTTGATTGGCAAAAAACCTGCGGAATTGTGTTTAAAAACGCAATTCCGCCATTCCGCAGGTTACCGATCAAAGCCTATATAAAAGAAACTAAGTGTTTGCCCACGCTAGGTGTGTGTTGTTTTTATATGTGAGTTTCTTATATATATGAGGAGATAATATTTTTCTTAAGCAGTTGCTGTGAAGTTTAAAATTTGATATATTCACATCACACTTGAGAAGATCAAGATTCTTGATTTAAATCATAGAACTATGTGATCTACAGTATATTCTTGTGTGATATCTATATTTTTAATATGCAGGGAAAAAATCATGGTGATTTTACTTGAAAGTTTTAGTAATTTTAATGTAAAATTATTATTTGGTCAAAGATTTGAAATTATTATGTGGACTATTTGGTTGTATTTGAATTTTGTATATGATTCAACTGAATATATATATATATACATGAATTATATATATATATGTATATATTTTATTTTAATTGAATCAATATTTAATGTTAAATACGACCACAACTCATGAATGTTTTATTTAATCTTGTTTCCTTTGATATTTTCTTTACATATGCCGAAGGTTGTTTAATTTGATAAATATATAGAAATTATTCCCTATGACTTTTATTCATAACAAAATTGATTAGTCTATTAGTCCGTTCAAAATCATAAACACAGAATTTAGACGAAAAATAAGTTATCTACTTAACCAAATTTCAGAACAGGAAATTTAAAAAAACTAACTTATAAGTGTATATAAAATGATTACTATTGAATTTGAATCTCCTCTGCGACGCCAATGTATTATAATCTGGATGATTATTAAGCCAAGGACGTGATTTCTCCTTCCAAAAAAGGGAAAATAACACTGCCACATAACTTAGTTTCTTGTTTCCCATGCTCCTAAGTCATAACTTAAAGCATAAGTCTCCTTCATGCCAATTATAGTGGTATTCTTGTTCATGATTTTTTTTCTCCTATGTTTTTCCTTCTCATGGCTCGTTTGATTCTTATTTTTGTAAATTGTTTACCTCTCCAGCACAGACTGCACATCCATCACCTTCTGTTCTTCTACCTCCATTTGCAAAAAAAGGTTAAATTGCCATCAGTTTTTCTTGTACCGATACTTCTGTTTGGTATTTTGTATATGCAACATATATGTTTAAAGGTTGGAGAGAACATGAGGGGGAACTATACTATTCCACAGTCTATCTTCTGTTAAAACTCAAGAAAACTAATGCAACGCCTTAGTGAGACTCAGATAAAGCAGTAGTCCTAAATATCAACAAAACAAAGCTTCTTTGGTCCTTTGGATCCTTTCATTTGCCATCAGCTTTTCCTTGTCCATCTGCTCCATTTTGCGTCCCTCCTCTATGCCCCACTGTTAGTAAAGAAAGCAAGGAATGAAAATTGTAGGAAGCTAAAAGTAAGTAGATATACCAACCAAACCACTTGCTTCTACTACTACATTTAAGGATAAGTTTCAATTGCGTGGAGATTGTGAATTGAGTATTGTCATAACGCAAAGAGTTACCGCTTCCTCCAAGAGCGGTTTCTGGTTGTATCGGATTCTGCATCCCGTTGTTGTTGATGCCCATTGGTCTAATCCCCAGGTGTCCTTGCATAGCTTTCTAATGTATAGCTGCTGCTGCGGATCCTGAAGCTTGTGGGAGCTACCAAACTGCAAAGGACCTCTTGGAGGGAAAATACCGGAGGGAATGCATTTAGAAATCTGGGTACATAACTTACTCAGATAAGAACTAATGTAATAACCTATGAGAGAGGCCATGAACACACCTTTACAACATCTTTAGTACTGTCTCGGTTTCTCTATAGAATCTCTTTTTAGTTTTCTTCTGACTATGGGAAAACACAATAGTCAATTGTCAATCCAACGAATAAAACAAAAGAAGTAAAAGGAAACAAAATATGCACTATAATCAACTGGCATAATTAGTATTGATCATATATACATTTTCATCTCTATTTGCTTCTCTTTTCAATCTGGGATGCTCCATTCTCTTTTAATTACGAATCTTCTTGTTTTTGCGGCATTGTGATTCAGCAAGAATTCAATGAAATACCATCCACAAAACACAACTCTATATTCAAATGACTTATGTCCAAAACACAACTCTTAATGATGTCTAAACAACGATTACAACATAGTATAAGTTAGTTTTCATAACCTACTTAGAAGCAAACTTCTAAACTACTGATTTTAACTAAAAAAAGAATTAGGAAAAAAATAGCATATCAAGTGAATGATAGAATACCTGCGGCGTTAAGGAAGTAGAGTTTTAATCAATGAAACGATATCATAAATATCAATATGAATAATGAATGGTTTGGGGGTTAAAATTATTACTCCTCCGTTTTATAATAAGTGTCATTTTGACACATTTTACACAGATTAAGAAATTAATAAAATATACAAATTATACCCCTAATTAATATACTTTTATAACATTTAATTACAAAGACTATTATTTTTAAATGAGGGATAAAACAGAAAATAAAAGTAAAAAGTTATATTGAAAATGCAGAATGACACACTTTTTAAAACAAACAATGAAATCTAAAACGACACTTATTATGAAACGGAGGGAGTAGAATTTAGAAGTATCCAATAGTTTAGGTTTTCTCACCATTATTTTTTCGGTCCCAAGTTTTGTACAGCAAACTTCGTCGTCTCACATGACTGGTACAAACTCTGCATATCATCAAAAAGATTTCCTGGTTCAATGTTTGATTGATCAACCAATACATTCCACAAACTATCAAAATCTCATAAAAGTTAGGCCAAAAAATAACCTTACAGTGTCAGATTGGGATCCAAGAACAATTACTTCAAAAATGGTGAAGCTTTCTCTATGAGAGCTTCGGCTCTCTCTCTGAACCTCAGAATAGTAACTGCTTCGGCTCTCTCTGTGATTTTAAAGAAATGGAACAGATCTAAGGACCAAACAAAATCACAATCATATTAATAATCTGTAATATGATTTGGTTTCCGAAACTTCTATAAACCATCTTTGTGGGTGATTAAGCGAGTGAGGAAAATACACATACAAATTCAGCATATGAAACTTTGTAAACATATCATTAACCTCACTTGGATTCTCGGAGCTTAACTGGTTCGTCGTCCGTTGCAATCTTCATAGGTATTCATCATCTTTTCGTTGAGTCATTTCAACACTTGCTATTATTTCCTTACTTAGAAACCAATTTCAGCTTCTTTAAGATGGGCCAGAGAAGAAGGTTAGATAGGAAGATTGGAAACAAATCGTTATACAAAGATATTCATATGAATTCATTGTACTCTATTAGCATTTGAAGTATACGAATTCACTATACTCTATTAGCATTTGAAGTTGTTAAGAATATATTCTTCGTACAAAAACGTGAAACACTATTCAAACATACCACTAACAGGATGATTCTCCCGGGTTCACATCTCCTTTGTATCCGAGACTACCACTTGACTGCTCCATCATCAACACACTGAGCCCACAAATCTGTTTGTTTTTTTTTTTGGGTTTTTTTGCGTAAATCTCATCAATTGAAGAGGACTCAGATATTCATATCGCATTAAAAAGAAAGAGAGGAAAATACATGTATATCTTTTGATGCCATGATTGGAGTTCAGAGGCTTTTGAAAAGGTTTTTGCTTGTTGATAGGATTATGAAAGGGAAAGTTTTAATAAGGTTCCGGAAGAGAGGTCATCAATATGAGGGAAGTGGCCATTAAAATCATTGATTTAAGAGGTCATAAAGATGAGAAATCAATAACGATTTCTGAGGGAAGAGAAATCGATTTTATTATCGAGTTAATACAGTTACAGAGAGAATCGTTGATATGAATCATATGATTTTGGAGTAGGTTATGTGAATCGTTGAATGATTTTGGGTTTTTTTTCCTTGGGCTTGTATGTTATTCTGTCTTTGAGCTTTTAAATTGGGCCTTTATGGATTCACCTCTCTTTAAACGTGGATTATTTGTTAATTAATTTTTTCATGTGATGTCTGATTGCCGTTATTAAGTTGGTTTGGTATTTAAGGAGATTGTAGCTTTTAGATTTATAGATGACATGGGGAATTAAAACCTTCTGATTGGATAATATATTTGTGAATAATTCTGCTTACGTGGCATGGAGGAATAATCGCGCATATCTTTTCAGCGTTATAAAATTCTCTTACCTCTTTGTCATAATATTTATTATATTTTCGATTTATTTTAAAAGAATAAAAAGTAAAAAAAGCGGTTAAATACTTGGGGATTCTTAGTAAAGTTTCATATTTATGAGCTCAACCACCAAAATCCACATCCAGTTTTCATATCGGGTTAAATCCGAACAAATCAGGTTCTCAGTCAAAATTGTAATAATTGGTCAAATCCTAAATAGCAATTATACTTGACAAAATTTAAAAACAAAAAGATTTCAAATTTTGAATTCAAAATCGTCGTCTTCGTGTAGTATTCTCTAGGACAACTACGAGTGATTTGCTGCTGCCTGTTTTGAATCAACGCTAAATCAGGTTTCGTCTTCGTCCTCTGATTTCTACTTTCTATTTACATAACTTTGTAGAGTTGAACTCGATTATGTATAGAATCGAAAATGATTTTTATGTTTTCTATTAGGTTGGTAATTACAAAATAGGAGTCATGGATGGTATTGAAAGAGAGTTTAATTATGCTAGACAAGAACTGTACTCAGATTCCGATTCGCCGCAGGAGAAAATTGTAGAAGGAGTAGCCGATTCAGAGACGGGTAATAATCAGATAGTGTTGTGGCAGAACACTACTAAAACTACGGAAACTGAGGCTGAGGAGGAGGAGAACCAGCCATTGCCACCCGTGAGGATGTTCCTCGAGCCCAGTCAGTATCATAATGCAATAAAATTGGGAACAAGTTGTTATATCCACAAAGCTGTTGTGAAAATGGAGTCCCTAGACCTTGAACCCCATGAGCTGAGCTGGTTTAGAGAACACCCACAGTTCAAGCACTTTTGGTACATGCATAGGGCCATGCATGAGGGCACAACACACAAGATGATGGGAATGTGGTTGCTTCTTCTTCGGACAGCAAACAAAAATAAGAAGAAGGAAGCTTGGTTTGTAGTGTATGGCGTACCAATTCGTTATTCCCTTAGAGAGCATGCCCTTTTATGTGGATTAAACTGTCTAGCGTACCCAGAGGACTATGAGAGCATAGTAAGTAATTCGTTTAAGAGTAGATATTTCTAGGAAACCGTCTCCTCTCTTGCTGTTGTTGAAAAAAGCTAGAGTCGATGCGAGAGCTAGATCATCCTGATCGGTTCAAGATATGTGTCGTCTACTTCTTATCCTCTATAATTAGTGGAAAACGAAAACCGGTAAGGGAGCACCATCTGTTGACCCCTTATTCCTGAGGATTGTGGATGATACTGAGGCTTCTAAAAGGTTTCCTTGGGGTAGGTATTCCTTCGATGTAAATATGAAGGAGATTGAGCACACAATGAGGCATTTCAAAGGGGTCGTCGAAACAAATGCCTGGACATTTCCAAGCTTTGTTACTCCCTTGGAGGTATGTCACATTATAAAGAATTTGTAAGTATGTAATACTATGAGCTTAAGTGTAATTTGTTGGGTTATGTGTAGTTGCTAGTTTTTGAGGTCATCCCATGTCTGAAGAACAAATACAGAGAATATGTTAGAGGAGCAGAGAGGGATCGTCCCCGAGTGTGCAGGCAGAAGTTCCAACCATTCACCATAAAAGGTTTCCCTTTGTCGGAACTCTATGAAACACTGGGATCGAGAATATATTGCAACCATCCGAAGATGGGGTAATTATGCTTCTTGGAGTCATGGAGGGGAATGAAGAGGAAGATGTTGGTGATATCGTTCCTGACAATTGTACGAGGCATTTAGTTGAGGAAAAGAAGCCAATATTCTGGAAAGAGATATGCAAGATCAATGTTGATGCCCGAGATAATAAGGAGTAGATAAACTATCATGCAGTGGCTAAGAAAAATGTTGCTACAGAGAATGTGGCGCCTCTTGGATTGGTAAACAGCTGCAGAGCTTGCAGAAGAGTATTTACGCTCAATTTCTCCGAATTAGTGCCTGCATGGATGGCATTGATACAAGACTCTGCTCTGTAGAACAATATGTAAAAGAGGCAAGAAGAGAAACTGAAGGACCAGGAGATGAGGAAGTACAAAAAACACAAAGCATAAGACACAAAACATAAGACACATTCACCAGTCCACCATTTCAGGAAAAACCCTAACTGCCCGGTACACATATCAGAAGAACTTTCCGCTGTCGCGAGTTAAGAAGCAGGAGTAGCAAATGTTCTCTGGTTTATACTCCTTATCCCATCAATGCACCCATGTGTTAACTATACCCCATGGACAGTGGATAAGAGTATTGATGCGCGGTAAAAAGTGACGGTGGATTTCATTGAACATCTCCGGCAACGCCATTGGCCAACCAAAATATCCTTCTTCAACGAGCTCGCGGCTGCACTTCCTTATTGTTTCCCGGCTTAGTTGGCTGAGGTACTCATCACCCTCGGGATGTTTCATAACAAGTTTCATGAACATCCCGTAGACATAGACTGCACGCGTGTACCCTCTATCCGCAGCATCCTTTTTCAGTTGAATCCCTCCAAGATCTTGTCGATGAAAATAGAGTTATATACCTCGGCATCATAGAAATCTCTGAAGATATCAATGATGAGATGGACATCTTGATCCTCTGGATGACCCATATTAAAGGGATCAACTTCAGCGTAGAAGCCAGGGCCTCTGGTGAAGGCGTTGAACCTATGACAAATAGAACGAATCCGTATTAGGTCACCAACTGTGTTAACCGTCGCTTCCAGAATATTTTCCAGTAGTTCGTCTGGTAGGACTAGTAGGTAGGAGTACACTGCCATTGATTTATAGATGAAAGAGATAGAGGTGGAGTTTAGTGAAAGGGATTTTGAGGAAAAAAAAATACTGAAGATCTGAAACCCTAAGAGAAAATGATGGAATTTTGTAATATAAAAGGAAAATCGGAACCCTAAGAGAAAGGAGGAAAAAATTATGGATTTGGGAAAGTAAATATGAAGGAGAAAATGATGGATTTGGAAATTATTTTCGTATGGATTTGATTTGGGAACTTAAATAATAGAAAATGGAAGAAGTGAGTAGTCTCGTCGAGTAAACGCACCCTCAAAATTGGATAACTTATAGAAGAATCAACCAGCTTTCAAATGCACTTGGTTTGGAGACATTCCAACGGTTGGATCTCAAGATATTCCATTTGCCCCGGAGCCACTCGAAGACGGCCAGCAAGTCACGCGACCGCGGCCAGCAGCCTATTTCCCGCGGTCAGAAGCCTCTCGACCATGGCCAACCACCAAATCCCTGCAGTCACGTCACTCCCGACCGCGGCCATCAAGTTCCGAATTAAAGCCCATATTTCTGAAGTCCAAAGTCATTCTCAGCCTCAATTCCGGAACCCTAGAGACCATGGAGTATTGAAGACTATAAATACTTGTCATTTAGGTCGTTTTTAGAAAAAACGATTGATACTTTACAGAAACCCTTTTCCTTTAGCCGTTTTTATGAGATTTTTGTAGAAGATTGTTCAAGTCCGAGTTCTTCAATAGAGAAGCATCCTTTATCTCTTTTCTTTACTGTTTTTCATTACTTTTATTAAAACCGATGATGATGTCGACCTCAGCCATGTCTGAGTAGATCCCGAGTTGGGCTTAGGGTTCCCGAAAGGGGCTCTCATAATCGATTAAGACATCTAGGTTTATAGATCTGGGATTTCGACATGTTCTCTGTTTATTTTTGTTCTTATTGCATGTATGCTTGATTGATCACCTAATATCTGATCTAGATAGTTAGTGTTGCAAAATTTTTCATTAAGTATCAGCCCTAGAATGAAACAGGCGATTTTTCTGTAGGAGTGGAAACCTACCTGTGGCGAGATCGTGAGTATTGACGAGTCTTGTGCAGCTCTTGCGTTCTCTCCCTTCCAGGGCCAGAGTGGAAACCTACTGGTCAAGGTTGCGAGAAACATTTGGTTATGATCACGACAGTGACGTAGTCATACCGCCGTACTCTAGCTCTATAACCCATATATCGTTATCCGTCAATCCCAATCTATCTACCTTAGTGTTAAAACCGATTATGATCCCTTAGAGTCCCAAGAGCTCAGCGTTTTTAGCCATAGTTTACAATCTCATCGATTTTTATTTGCTTACTTAAACCTGCATTTCAATTCCCTTAGTTCGATATTTTACTTGCTTTACTAGTTTTTCATTCGATATTTTACTTGCTTTATTAGCCTTTCATTCGATTTCTTTACTTGCTTTCTAAGATAGATTTATTTGCTTTCTCTTGTTTTAGTTTAATTCGTGACAAACAACCAACATTTTAAAACCAATCTAGTCTAGACATAAAGTTAAAAACCGTAAAAGAATACTAGGCACAGAAATCTCTGTGGATTCGATCCCTAAATACTACAACTGATTAGCTGTGCACTTGGGGCTTTCATTTGTTTTGTTAAGGGTAAAACTTGTTCCCTCACGCAGTTAGCGCCGTTGCCGGGGATTTGTTTCGCTGCTTTTTGCTATTTTTCTTGTTTTAACTTCTGTTCTAGACACCTGATCTCTAGTTCCTTCTTAAAGTTTTGCTGAATTATCTTTCCCTTCTTTTGTTTTTCTCTGAATTGCATGAAATCCAGGCGCAGACCTGTAGAAAACATTCCAATTCTAAACGAGATAGACAGACACGAAAGAGAACTTCGAAGACTTAGACGAACGCAAGGAATGGCCAACGACAACCAGCCTGGAGATCCCATTAACCGAGCTTTAAATATGGACCAAGAAGGGTCCGAACATGGAGAAAATGAAGAGAATGATCACAGAGGAGGTGAACATGCTCGACAAGATGGAGAGGAGGATGAGGTTCCTCCAAGAAACCACCAGAACCGCGAGAGAGAAGAACGTGAAGACCTCAATGCAGCCGATGGTGACCACCAAGGAATGCAGCCGAATGGGCGCGTTAACCGCCCTGTACAGCCAGAAAATCAACACCGAAGACAAGCCAGGAACCATCGCATAGCTGATTTTGATGCACCTACTCAAAATTTTCAGAACCGATCTGCAATTCAAGTTCCATTTTCGAACCGGAATGAGTTTGAAGTCAAGCCCCAAATCATCTCATTGGTGAAACAAAACCAATTCCATGGAGTTCCTTCTGAACACCCAATGGACCATATCGAGCTCTTTGAAGAAATCTGCAGCATGATGAGAACAAACCAAGTTCCACCAGACTATTTAAAGTGTAAGTTGTTCCCTTTTTCATTAACAGATAAAGCTCACCGTTGGTTGAAATCTTTGCCTGCAGGATCGATTACTAATTGGGAAGAATGTAAAACTGCTTTCTTGAAGCACTTCTATAGTAAGTCAAGGTCGAATCAGTTGAGAACAAAGATCTCAAACTTTCAACAAGGGTCAACTGAATCTTTCTATGAAGCCTGAGAGCGTTTTAAGGAGTATGAACATGATTGCCCTCACCATGGATTTCATGGATCCAGCCTGCTGAGCACATTTTACCGAGGTTTGCAACCAAAATACAAACTTTCACTTGATACAGTTAGCAATGGAGATTTTGGAGAAAAGACAATAGCCCAAGGAAGAGCCCTCATCGAAAATTTGGCTCAAGCCAATAGCAATGATTGTCTCGAATACGATCGATCGATGAAGCAAGCCGGAACAGACAACAAGGAGATAACCGAGTTGAAGAACATGGTGAGCCAGCTTCTGAAGAGCAACAATCGCCCAATCCATGCTTGTGAGACCAACAATGGCGCAGAAGATGAAGGACCTAGTGATATTGATCACATTAATCAGGCCTTTCAAGAAGAAGATGTGAACTATGTAGGAGCACTGGTGCCATATCAAAATCGCTCCAACAATGGTAACAACAACAACTTCCGGAATGCAAATTACAACAATCTCTCTTACCGCAATCCAAATGTGGAGAATCCTCAAGATCAGTACTACCCACCTCAGCAAAAAATCCTTCCAAAACAAGTTTCAAGGTGGAAACTTTAGAGGAATAGTACCATATCAACCGCGACAGCCATATAACTACCAAGGTACGAGTTTTAACAATCAATTTGTACAACAGCAGGGAGTCACGACGAACCAGCTAGCTTCACAAATCGGTTGAATTGAGCAGTCCATCCAGCAGCTAGTTATGACGAATGAAAAAGCATCTAAAGACGTGAACGTGAAAGTCGATTGCATGTACAATGATCTGAACGGTAAGTTCGAATCTTTATCTTCGCACGTCAAAAAACTGGACGTGCAAGTCGCCCAAACAGCCGACTCTATGAAGAGGCAAAGTGGAGTTCTTCCAGGAAGAGTTGAAGATAACCCTAAGAAGTTTTGCAACACCATAACCACATTGCCCGAAGAAGAGGCCAGAACCGATGGAAAGAAAGAAGAAACCTCAATCTTTGTACCACTGTACAAAGATGTCGATGCTAAGCAGCCACCATTTAAGGTATCTGAACGATCACTGTTTCAAAGGCTTACAAAAGCCGATGATCCGGGACGTTTTGTTTTCCAATGTTTCATTTCAGGAATCAAGTTCACAGACTGTCTGTGCGATTCCGGAGCCAATGTCAACATCATGTCAAAGACATTTGCTGAGAAATTGGGCATAAAAACCTTAAGGACATCGACGGTTAAGGTTATCTTTGGAGATTCATCTCAAAAAGATAATGAAGGGGCGATTCATGATCTACAAGTTCTAGTGGGAGACAAGATTGTTCCAGCAGATTTCCAAGTCCTGGAGATGGATAAAGATAAGGAGAGGCCACTCATTTTCGGGAGACCATTCCTAGCTACAGTAGGAGCAGTAATCGATCACGCAAACCGGCATGCTGTTTTCCTCAATGTGGATCGAAAAAGGTACTATCCAACTATCTT